CCCCCCCCGGCGGGGGCGGCCAGCCCCGAAGCTTTGGGTACCCAGCACGGCTGGGAGCTGATCGAAGCGTGCGGGGCCGTCACAGGGCGCTGGTGTCCCTGGCGGGGCCAGTCGGACGCTGCGGCGGTCGGTGGAGATGAGCAGGCGGCGATGCGCAGTGCCAGGGTCCAGGGTCAGGTTCGCTGGAGGGAGGGCAGGGAGGACCGCGTGAGAGGGGTCCTCAGACTGAGGGGCCCGGAGAACAGGCATCGGAGGGCACGGGGGAGAGACTTCAGAGCTCTAGGTCCTCACGACAGACAGATTGCTCTAAGGCGCTGCAGGACCACCCAGAGGAGGCAGCCCTGTAACAGCAGGCCCGCGCTCTCCCTCTGCGCTCATGCGGCTCCTCTGTAGAACTGGATTTGGAATAGGGCGGGAGGCACAGCGCTGGAGCCCAAGTGAGCCCAAGTGAAAGGCGTCTTAATCACTTCTTGTCTTTTTTTCTTTTCGGTTAGTGGAGTTGGGGGAGGAAGAGTGAGTCTGCTCCTGTTTCTAGGGAGGAGTGAGGGCTGAAATCTGCAGTATCTGGGGCTGGGTGTGGGACCTGGGGCAGCAGGATGGGACAGGTGGATCTAAGAGCAAGACTGACACCTGATACTGGAACTCTGTGATACAGGGGAGGGGCACGGAGGAATCCCAGGTATCCTGAGGAACCAGCCCACCCACCCCCACCCACCCGAATAGGCTGAATGGGTGGGGAAGGACAGGCCTGTTTCTGTAGGGGATGGGACAGAGGAGGCCAGAAAGAAAAAACACTGGCCTTGCATGTGTGGCTGCTTTGAGGAAAGACTTCGGGATTAAGGGGTGCAAGGAAGTCTGGACTGGGAGGTATGGTGGGTGACCATATTGGGGGACATCTTTTCTAAGCATTTTAAAGAATGGAGTGCAGCACTGGGCGTGAGGAAGGAGGAGAGGAGAGCTGCTGGGGCCCTTCTGGGATGAGTGATGAGAAGTGGTGGCCGCTGATCAGGCAGCTGACCTCCAGGATCATGTGTGAGTGTATAAAAGAAAGAGGGGAAACGGCTAGAATATGAGGAATTGAAGTTAAATATCATTATGGGTTGAATTGTCTGTGTCTTCCCCCCAAAAAAGATACGTCGAAGTCCCCCAGTACCTGAGAATGAGGCCTCATTTGGGAATAAGACCTTTACAGAGGCAGTCAAGTTAAGATGACACCATTAGGGGACCAGCAGTTGGCATAATGGCTATGTCGCTGGACTCCCATGTAGTCAACCATGGTTCGAGTCCTGGACCCAGTGGCTTAAACTCATGCCAGGCGTGTGTGCATGTGTGCAAGATCCCAAGAGAATGGAGAAGAGATTGCAGAGTAGCTATCACCCTTGGGGATGATTTCTCACTTTCTGTCTCTCTGTTTCTGTCTCTCTCAGTCTTTCTGGCAAGTGCACATGCCTTATAGCAAAAACCTCTTCAAAAAAAAAAAAAAAAGATGACACATTAGGATGGGCCTAATACAGCATGATTGCCATGTTACAAAGGGGAAATTTGGGCAGAGACGGATGTGTACTGAAGGAAGACTGAGCGCCAGCTGTTAGCCAAGCGAGGCCCGAGGCTGCCAGAAGCTAGGAGGAAGGTGTGGAGCAGAGTAGGCCTCACTCCTCAAAGGAAGCAACACTGGCGATACCTGCCTTGGGAAGGCAAGATGGTAACTGTCTGTTGTTCTGGCCATGTAGTTGGTGGTGCTTTGTTACAACAGCCCGAGGAAACTAACTGAGACATTTAAAGAACTTAGCCTTGGGAGCCTCTCTCATTGAGCCCCCTCCTTACCCGTCAGTCTGTGGAGCATGTTTTTGACCACTGGGTAATCTTCAGGGAGATCCTCCTCTGAGGGAGGTGACTTGGGTGTTGGGACGTCAAATCTGGACAGAAGAGAGGGAAGGGTCAGGAGATAGTAGACACCCCTCTCGCTGTGATGTGGTGCCCCGCCCTACCCCACTGACACCTCTGGAGCAGGAAGGCCCCGGAAAACCTGGCTAAGTTGGGACCTAGATGGGGGCCCAGTAGGAAGGTGATGGCTGTGGCCACCGGGAGTGGAGAGATGGGGGAAGGTGGGACTCACCGTCTCCATGTCTTCCTCATGTCCTGTGATGGGCAGAAGGAAACGAGGATGTGAGCTCTGGGTTCATGCTTGGGGAGCCCTCTCCCATCCCCCTCTTTGGGTGAGCTCTGGGTGGGAAATGGCCTTCCCCAACACTCCGAGGAATCCACCTCTTTATTCCCCGTGCTCCTTTTTCCTCTCACCGCCCCACCCTTCTGTGATCCGTCCTTCCCCAGCACCACTTTTTCATCCTGCTACCTCCACCTTCATTGTCCTTCCTCTGTGTCTGCTCCAAAGGTTCTCAGCTTCCCTTGCCCAGCCTCCATCATGCCTGCTCCTTGTCCCCAGAGAGTTCCCTTCCTCTGTGGTGCCTGCTCCCAGCCCCAGGCCCATTCTCTGTCTCCTGAGGTCCTTACCCACCTTCCTGAGTGTGTGTATCCCAGAGGAACACACACCCAGAGCCTTTGAGCTAGGCTGCTATATAACGTCCTACAATAAAGCTGCTTCCCCTCTTGCCATAAAAGCCCAGTGGCATTTATTGGGACCTGTGCTTTGTCCCTCCTCAGGGAGGCAGCTGGACTTGACTGTGTCCCAAGAACCCAGCAGGTCTGCAAGGAACCCTTGGGAGAGAAGGCTGGGTGTTCCCCCCTCCAAATATTGGGAACCCCAACCACTGGGCTTCACCGTCGTGTGGAAGGCTGCAGCAGGCCAGCAGGCTGGCTAGGAGAGAGGAAAGGCAATTTGCCTAGTTATGCCAAGACTAATTAGGCCTGTGAAGACTTCAAAGGGCGTAAGCAAGACCCAAGATGGCTTGGCTGTGAAGAAGCCAGATGGGGAGTCCCAGACGCCTGAGGATCAAGCAAGGGGTTGGGGCCAGCGGTGGCCCAGGAACCGCGTCAGGAGGGGCGCAGGGAGTGGGAGGGTGAAAAGGCTAGTCTGTGGAGAGAGGCCAGAGGCCCCAACTGCATTCCCGGGACCTGGCCGCCACCTGTCCCGCCCCTGCCTGGGGCGCTGGGAGGAGCGGAGAACAATAACAAACACGGCTACGCTGGGCCCCGAGCTCGGGACTGTGTCACGTTGCCACAGGGGCGTTTGGATATGCACCCCCATCCCTTCCTCAGTTCCCTCCCGCTAAGCCCCTCCGCTCCCGCTCTTTCCCGCCCCCTTCCCGCAGGCTCCTGCCA